GAACCCCAGAAGCTGTCAACCATGACTCAGAAATGCTTTGGGACTTTTGACGGGTAACATGGAGTCCGATCCGTCGGTATTAGTTTGCTGCTTGTTAAGAGCTCAGCCTTAAGATGGAAAATCGAGTCCGCCACCCCCACCCCAGGTACCAGCCTTTTTAGTGTGGGCTCAGATTTCCCGCCTTGCCGTGACGGAGGGCCAGGAGCGGCGGTTGGCGAGCTGGGACTGAGGCTGGGGTCTGGTGAGGGAGGGGCTGCAGGAGGCAGGCTCTGTCCTGGGGGTGGGCTCCATGAGCCCCGGGAATCTGGGGTCAAGGCCTCCTGCCTCAAAGCTCACAGTCCCCCGTTTTCAAGCACCCACAAGACCAGGCCCGGGGACAGTCTAAGACTTGACAATTAAAAATCTAAAAAAACAAGCATCATTGCATATAGGGTTTCTTGAGAGGCTGTGAATAGGTCGTTTCAGACACGTGATACCCACGTGCAAAAGACGAGCCTTGAGATGGCTCGAAGTTTCCTTTTCCTCCTCAGTCACCAGGGTGTGCGCGCCAAGCCCACTGCCTTTCTAAGGAGACAATCTATTTCTCCTTTGACCAGAGGGAGAGAAATCATTATTCCATGATTAGTGGCTTCGGTTAGGTAAGGCAGAAGGCGGCGGGGATGAGCCGTATTAATTACCCCACGCTTGCCGGCGAGACCGCCTTCTCAGTGATTTGGCCACTGGGAAGTTGCAGCTTTTGATAGAAGTGGGCAAGTTCTGAGCTCCTGGAAGCGGGAGGAAGGCGCTGCTGTCAGATGAGAGACATCTCATCAGCTTTTCTCTGACAAACCAAATTCATTCCTTATGTAATTGATAACGGCCTTGGCCAATTACTTCACACATTACAATACACAGAGGCCCCCTTTACAGGTTTTGCAGGGCTGTAATTAGCTATGCTAATATCCCCTTTATTGGCCCTAATATTGCTCAACACCTTTTGCCATCCTGGAACCCACTAGAGCCCCATGGCCTGTCAGGACCGCTGATTATTGAGAAGGATAGCTTTAATCAAACATAATTGCAGTTAATTTTTCTCTCCTGCTCTGTTGCCAACGTCTAATGCCACGGACTCCTTGATATTCCATTAAATTACAATTAAACAGCCTCCTTTGTTTCTGATTGTCCTGAACAACACCACAAAGTTCTGTAGCCGCTTAAAGGAGAGTGTTTGGTCCTAATTGCCTGCGCGCTCACAAAGGGCCAATTTACACAATACCCATGTAGAATTTAAACAGTTCATAATGTAATGGATATTACACAGGAGCCTAACACTACAATTAAAATGATTTTCATCAGATAGAGAAGCTCTGGTTAATCAGCTTCATAAAAGTAAATATAAATGAACTAATTCATAGCTTAAACACACAGTAAGGGAGCAGACTCTGAAATTAGTCACTGCGGAGGGGGCTCGCCCCTGACCGTGGGATACCCGGGGTGGGCGCGGGTGTAAACGGTGGGTCCCTGTTATCCGAGACGCGTGCAGGGCGCCCGGGTCCTGCCGCGAGCACTTCCGGCGGCGCCGCGAGCACTTCCGGTGGCGCCGTTGGCGAGGGCGCGGCAGTGATGCCCGGAGATCACAATGAACCTTCTGCCGAGGGCGCAGCCCTGCCCGCGTGGCATCGGAACCGTCCCCACAGAAGGGCGGGCGGCCTGGGCTCTCGAGCTCAGACTGGCGCTCTCAGGGGCTGGGCCCGCGGCCCTGCCCTCGCCGCCCCCAGGTGGAGGATCCCGGGCCCACCCTCATAGGATGATGCTCTTGAGTTGAGAGAGGCGCCTGCTGTTTTCAGCGCCCCTAAGCGCCAGAGGGGCTCACCCATGGGGCCCCTCGCCTAATCCCTGCTGGCTCTGAAAGAGGAAACCCGATGTCCACAGTCACACGCCCGCACCTTCCCCCTTCTCATCGCCGCTGAGAACTTGTCCAGGATTTTGCACGCAGTTTGCGAGCAGAATGTTGCCGGGGAGTTTCGCCTGACGTGTAGCAGTGTGCCCTTCCCCTCCTGCCTGGGAGAAACAAGTAAATAAAGCCCATATTTCAAGCTTGATTTACTCTGGTACCTACTGTGAAAGATGATGACTCTTTAGGGAAATAAAGACAGGGTCAGGGAATTAGTGTACATAATGGTCATTTTGATGATGGGCCAACAGATGCAACCGGGAACACACTTACACAATTAAGCATAATGTACTAATGACAGGTTAGAATTTTTATCGCCTCTTCGCCATCCAGCAGCAAATCCATGGTTAGCAGTAATAAAGAGTTTATTGGTGTTAAAGCCAAAGATTTTCTGACATAGGAAAGATTTTTCCTTTCATAACAAGAGTATTAAATCCTTTGTGTACCAGACTCTAGAAGTGAGATATGTAAAGTGCTTGTCAGATATTCCTTAGGAAAAAGCCAATTAAAGGGTAATTGAGTAAAGGATGAGAATTACCATTCGACCTCACATGTGCCTCCGTTCTCAGCCTCCCCAGACGGCAGGGAGCCCCTGCCGGTGGAGACCCGCGCTGGGTGGGCGGGGTCAGCAGCCACGCGTGGGCTGGACTGGACCGCCCACCTCGGGGAGGCCTGATGAATCCTCCAGGAACAAGAACAAGGGCAGAAACTGGGTGCAGGCCTCCTCTTCCTCCTTTGTCTGTCCCCACACGTGTTGGGCCTTGTTTCGCCTGAGTAACTGAGGCCTGATGTGGAGGAACCCCGTTCTGCAGGCTCCCCACTTGGGCCTACAGGTCGCTCCCAGGTGCTTTCGCTGCTCTTCAGAAACTTGGAAGAAACCCTACTGTTGCCTACATGTCAGCATGTGTAAGCGTGTGTGCACGTGTGTGTGTGACTGTGCACCCATTCTACAGTGGAGCCCCAAGACGTCTGGGATGGTTCCGGGGCCCAGCACCCCACTCTGCCCCTCTCTGGAACCGCCAGCGGTCAAGGCCCCTGGTGACTGCACATGGTGTGGCCGTGCAAGCTCGGTGCCCACTCTGCCCCCCTGGAGGTGAAAGGGCGAGCGGGCTAAAGAGACAGCAAGGGCTTGGAAGACACCCGCTCTGGAGCGGGGAGATCAGGCCCCGGATGAAGGGCTCCCCTGGCCGGCTCCGCAGATGAGCCGGGTGGTAATGTGTGGAGTAATTGCACCGGAGTGGCTGTCCCCAAAGTGGAAACCTAATTGCCTGACAGGACGGTAACTCGGTGACGCCCTCACCTTGTTAGGCCCTTCGTGATGCGGTCGGGCGCGGGGTGGCCGCAGGTGCGCCTAATTTACCTCGCTGCGGAGCGCGTGGAGCTTAATTGCACAGTGGTTGTTAGGAGAAATTGGTGGGTGGACGGCCGGGTGGCTTACTGTACGTGATGGCAGATGGTGTTCAGAGGCGCGGTGAGCTGAGTGTATAGGTGAGGAGAGTTAATAAAAGATGTAAATTCCGGCCTAAAATAGCGAGGCCGCGCGGGATGTAAGGAAATTTAATTAAGTGGCCACTATTCTTTTTCCCCGCCAGTCAGTCGGGTGTTCCTCTGCTGTGGTGGAAAGTCGTCCCGGGTACGCTGGGAGACGCGAATCTCGTCTCCTGGATCTTTTTTATTTTCTGAGACGATAAGCTGCTGCAAGGAACCTTGGCTTTCAGGTTGGAGTCAAGGCGATCACATGAAGCTTCGTAAAAACTGGGTCATCATCCAGTGGAACATTGAGATTCGGGAGGAAAACGGAGAAGATGAGTGTTGATGGCCGTGTGGATGTGTGTCAGCCCTGAGGCCCCGCTTTGTTGGGCTCAGGACGCCCCTGGCCTTCTTGAAAGGAGACACCCCCCGTTCTCCCATGGCTGGGGGTACAGCCAGGCCTCCTGGGGTCTGTGCGCCTCTATCATGAATCAGGGCGTCCAAGTCTATCTCAGAGCATGTGGGCGTTGGGAGGACGAGGTGGTGATGTCTTTGTCACAGCATTCAGAACACTTGGGGGACCCCTGAAATGTCATGCTTCCGAACAAGACCAGGCCTTGGTGGGGAGCAGAACTGTTTCCACATCCCGCCTCGCTCTCCAACCAGGACAGCGAGCATTTCCCTGCCACACCTGGGGGGCCTTGATCAGTCCCTTAAAACCACACGTAGGCCTTTCATAGACATCGCCGCCCTGAAAAGAGCATCCCCTATTTTCTCTTAAGACGTGTACTTGTTGTAACTTGAAAAACTCTCCTTTAAAAGTGTGGCAACACACAGTGGTGGCCCCTAGGATTGGGTGGCCAGGTAGAATTCACGTCCCGTTAAATTTGAATTTCGGATAAACAGTTTTTTTTTTTTTTAAGGATAGATATATCTTTTGGGATTCCCAAGTGGCTTAATGGTAAAGAATCTGCCTGCCAAGGCAGGAGACACAGGAGATGCAGGTTCGATCCCTAGTTGGGAAGATCCCCTAAAGGAGGAAATGGCAACCCACTCCAGTAATCTTGCCTGGGGAGTCCCATGGACAGAGGAGCCTGGTGGGCTACAGTCCATGGGGTTGCAAAGAGTTGGACACGCCTGAGCAACTGAGTATGCATGCATGCTTTGGGACAGGCCTGTCCAAAAAATTATTTGTTGTTTATCTGAAATTCAGATTTAACTAGGTATCCTGTGTTTTTATTTGCTGAAGTTGGCAGCCCTGTCTAGGGTGGATAGGTCCCCAGGGGTTAATGGTTGTGCAAAGATCCAGGTGAGAAATGGCCAATCTAAGCCACAGTTGTTATTTTAGAGCTTGGAAAAGCCCCAGGCGTCAAGACAAATGTAAGTCACTTCCACACGTGGAGACAGTAGACACTGGCCGCTGGACCTGGGGGTGCCTGCCTGGCTGCCCCCCGGCCTGCTCTCTATCGCCCCCTACAGGGCAGCCGGCAGAAGGCGTGGGGTTGTTTCCCCCGCTCCCCAGGCAAGAGTACCTTTCAAAAACTTTGTGTCTGTGTCTCATAACCCTAACAAATATCCATTTTTTGTATCTTTGTAGATTCTTTCTAAAGTTTTTCCTCAAGTGCAATCAGAACTGTTTGAAGAATGCAGGCAACCCCCGGGACATGCGAAGATTCCAGGTACGCGATTCTGGACCGCGGTCTGCACTTGTAATATGCAAGTCGAATTCTCTGCTGTGAGGGGGTTTGGGAGTCAATGTTTAGTTCTCAGGGGCCTGAGTGCAAACCAGGATGGGTTCATTTGATAGAACCTTTACATCGAATGCTTTGAAATGATGTGGCACCTTGCGTTGGCCAGAGCCGTGGAGCCTGTTGAGACACATGACAGAGTGAAGTCTGCCCTGGAAACATGATGTGCATTTCTGCTCTGATGAGGGTGTGTGTGTGTACATGCCTCTTGCGGTGGGCGCACTGCCCGGCGCTGCATGTTAGGCGGCAGGGTAGCCCGAAATCAGAGGAATCAGAGCTGTAGGTTAGGTTGGAGTCTGTCTTATGTTCAACCATGGTCATCCTATGAGTGTGTTCCAGAGAGACTTGAAGGATCTTTTCAAGTCAAGTCCTCCTAAGGTTAGCGCCTCAGTCTGTTCCCTCACTCATTCCTCGCTTGGTTGGTTAGACTTTGGGGGCCACACTGAAGATCTTCCTTAGGGATGGCTAAGTCTGTCATGTGGGAGGACTGCTGGGTAATACGTGGGGTCCCCTCCCAGGACCGAGGGGCTGCCTCATGGGGGGGCTGGACTTGTTCCAGGCTGGCCTCCCCAGTTGCAGGATGTTCCCCCTGGTCAGCTTCCCTCCTCCCAGGAATCCGCTGATTCCCTGCCTAAGAGCTGGACTGCGTCCCTGCACCCAGGCTGACTTGTCCTCTGCTTGGCTTCAGATCCCAGGATTGGCTCTCAAGGAGTGAGATGGCGAGCTAGTTTGGGGTTTGGTTGGTTTTCAGTTGGATAAATTACGATCCGGTCACGTTCTTGCCTTTGTGAATGACCAGGAGGTGGCTTCAGGGGAAGGGTGCTCAGCACACAGGATGGATTATTTTACTGACTTTCATCGTAAAAATATCTGGGCCGGGACACAGAACTAGTCCTTACCCGCCAGAGAAGAACGTGGGTGACCATTGCTAGGCTGGGTGTTGCCAAATGCTTCTTCTTTGGCATTTAGACTAGTTTACCATCAAATCACTCAAGGCTTTTCTAGAAGTGTAAGTGATGCTCCAGTCTTTGGGTGAAACACAGGATCCCTGTCTTGGCATCCAGCCGAGCAGTCAGAGGGGGTGGAGCCGGTGGCCAGCCTACAGTCACATGCAGGAGTCACGTGTTTTCTGCAGGCAGCGGGCCTGCTTCCCGTCCATGGGCACGGGGCTCCACACCAGTCCATCAGGTAGACTGGAGGTCACACGAGGCTCCGCAGTGGCCACAGGCAGCGTCGGGCACACGTGGGGCTGGCAGTTCCTAGAAAGGCCTCCTCCAGTCTCTGGAGCTGCTCGCCCTGCCTCTCGGGGGGCTTAGCTGAGCTGAGCAGCAGGTCAGGCTTGCACGCGTTTCCAGCCCGTTCGGTCTCAGGACCTTTATGTAGGTGCACGGCGGGGCCGGCCGGCTGCGAGACAGAACACAGCCAACCTGCTCTCTGCTCAGCGATGCTTTTCCCTTGGTGACTGACCTATATAGACGACAGAGCAGAGATGGTGTCTTTTTGTGTGTTTATTTTTACCCTTTCTTGTTTCTTGAACTTATCACGGTCGAGGAAAAGAGAGGGTCAGGTCTGTGGCTCGGGGTTACTTCTGTGTCTCTGCATCCTACATGGGGGCGTGTTGGTCGAGGCCCCTCTGTGCCCAGGGTGGGGTCTGGCAGACAGGCTGCCCGGAGGGCATCTGCGTGACCCTGGCATCAAGGCTGCCAGGCCAGTAGTGGCCCTGGAGCGGGGTCAGGGCCACCCCTGGGGATGGACCTGGGGATGCTGGCAGTGGTGCTGGCATTATTTTGAAGCTCAGAGGGGCCTGTGCCCTGGAGACTTGCACAAGCTTGGCAGCGCCCACGGTGAGAGAGGGCCATCCGGGAAGGTGGCCCCTTCCTTTGGGGAGTGGAGGGTCTGGGGGTACTCGTCCTACCTCACCGTCTTCTTGTGGGTCCTGAGACTTTTATAAGGAATCAGTTACTCACAGATACCTTGACATATAAATATGTAGCTTTGCCTTTTTGAAAGCCTTTTCCTTATAATCAGTTTTATCTGTCAGTTTTTTAAACTAGCAGACTTGTTTTTAGAGCAGTTTTAGGTTTACAGAAAAGTTTCACAGAAAGCGTGAAGAATCCCCACAAGCCCCTGGCCGCCCTGCCCTGCTCCCTTCCATCTCCCCCCAACTCTCCCCTGCATCTCGCGTGTGTGGCTCCTTACTAACTGAGGTCCACCACGGCTGAGGCTTTTCAGCACCTTGTGTGGCAGGCTTTGACGTGTGCCCACCTCCTGGTGCCCCTGCACCTGCCCAGCTGTCCTCCGTGAGGCCGTGGTTCTCCAGGTGGAGCTGGCCGTCCCTGCTGTCCGAACAAGAACCGGGGCTTGAACTGAACAAGAACCCCAGATCCAGGCTTTGGCTCACGTCTCTGCTATCCCAGGTCTCCCGGAGATAATGCATTATGCAGAGCCCCTCTGTCCAAGGAGGATCTCAAGGCCGGTGTCATTTCCTGTTTCCTGAGTCGTTAGTTAGGCGAGGGTACCGATTCTGGGGTGCTTGTCACAAGCTCCCCGGGGACGGTTTCCGTGGAAGCAAGGCTGTCCCTGCCGGCGTGACTTCCTCCTTTACTCCTGTGAAGTACTGAGACTGGGGAGGGCCTGAACCTGGATCAGGGCCGAGTCATCCCTCCATCAGGAAGCTCGTTCCCTGGACAGAGTGGTCCTTGCCTTCCTCACCGTGAACTTGAGAAACGATACTTTCCCTGCTCGGAAACCACTTTATTCCTATTTAGCTCAGTCTTTTCAGATGCAAAAATGTTCATTACCAGACTGGGGCTGTAACTGTGACATTGACCTGGGCTCATGTGATGATAGAATGTGGGCAGTAGAAACAGCTTCTAATTTATGAAGCCTTTTTTGGGGGGTGGGGTGAGGAGAGAAGCAGGGGCAACTCTGAATTCTCACAACTCCTCAAGGAAGGACAGTCTCCAGTGAACCCATTTTAATTAGATAAACTATCTAATCAATATGTGAACAGATCAATCAAAACGGTAGCTTTAAGACAAGTGGCTGGAGGGGTGTTTCTGCAGCTAATGGTGAAGAAGAATTTTTCCCTCTGAATTGAATTCACTTGTTAGCATAATAGGAGATTAAACTGTAATTAGTGCAGCGGGTTTGGAAGAGAAGCAATCTTGAGTCACAACAAAACCACCCACCCACCCCATTAGCCAAAAAAGGTGGTGTGCGCGCGCCCGTGGCTGCGGGGAGGCTCCGGGAGCGGTCGCGGGGGCCGGGGGCTGCGGGGCTCGGGCCTCACCGACGCTGTCTCCGCAGGTTGTCGTGTCCACCACGGTCAACGTGGACGGCCACGTGCTGGCCGTGTCCGACAACATGTTTGTGCACAACAACTCCAAGCACGGGCGCCGGGCCCGCCGCCTGGACCCGTCAGAAGGTACGGCCCCTTCTTATCTGGACAATGGTAGGCACACGCTACGCGTCTTCTTTTTATTTGCGATGCTTCCTCTTCTCCGTGCCATCCTTTCTGTCCTTGTTCTGTGTCCGCTTGCCCCTCCCTGGTCAGGCCCACGTCCTCAGGGCGGCGCCCTCCCCTCCCCTCCCTCGCTGGCGGGGTCGGGGGCTCAGCTTTCCCACCCTCCTCACCCCCGTGGCCCTCACTTTATTGGTTGGTCTGTGTCTAAGCTTTCTTTTGCTTAGAGCATTTCCTGCAGTTTTAATTCATGTGTTTTTTTTTTTTTTTGGCTTCTTCTAAGCCTCCATCCGGGTCATCCCTGAGGCTTTGGGCTCCTGCTGGGGGTGCTCACATCCTGGTCCCATGGGCTTCGGGGACCTCCTGGCCCTCCATGGAGAGAGAGCCTGTGTGTGTGTGTCTGTGTCCACACATGGGGGCGTGAGTGGAGGAAACGAGAAAAAAAAAAACACAGCATAAAATGTGTACCAAAGGCTTCCAAGTGATGGACTTCTTGTTTTGCTTGTTGAATGAGAAGAAGTTTAGTAAGGGTGATAGACTTGTAAGTCAGGATCCAGAAACACAGACACGGACCTTTCCAAGCAACCCTGTCACCTGCTCCCTGTGGAGGGCAGGTACCTCCATGTGTCACCCCCCCAATGGAAGGTCTGGTCCCTGATAATAGAGTCCGTGAGAAGCATGAGATCCTGACCAATAAGAGCGTGGGGAAAGTGATGTGAGTTTCCTTTTTTAAGTGAATTGCAAACACAATGGCATGATTAAACTCTTTAGAGCAGAAAGAGCCCGTAGACTAAGCAATTTTAAGGCAGACTCTCTAGACTGAGGTCTTGGGTTCGGGGCGGACAGACTGCTCACAGGAAAGTGGATGGAGCCCGTGTGGATCATCAGAACGAAGCACAATTCAGACATCAGAACTGGAAGACAATTTATGAATCTGCTGCAGTCCACAAAAATAAACTAATTTGTTTTTCTACATTAATGACTAAGGTGTAAGAGAACAAAAATATAATAATTAAAGGTCGCCCTGGGCGCCAGAGTCATTAGCATCTGTGACGTACTGTTTATCTCCTTTCTCCGCAGTGAAGGTAGGTGTGTGTTTTGCTTAGTAACCATCACTAATGAGGTTCACAATTAAGAAGGCTAGATCCCAGTCCTCAGTCCCTGCTTCCCCAGAGGGCCAGCGCTGGCAACGTGATAGGTTCAGGATGGCCCCACGGCCCTCTGGTGTTCGGTTGTAGTCTGGGTCCAAAATCAGCCTCCTCTAATGAGCTATTATGATCTGAGCAAAGTACCAGTATTTATTTTTGTAAGTAGCATGAAAAAGCATTTGACTGTAAGCAGAAAATATAGCATTTAGAAAAATAAAGGCCACTCATGGGTACCTTGGAGATAAAACCCAACTTAATCAACAGCTATTTGGAGAAGCAGTCTGGCTCAATTTTTTTTTTTTTTTTTTAGTTTTTTCAGGGTTTTTTTTTTTATCAACATTTAAACTAAGTCAGTTTCTTGCAAGAGATTGGAATATCTTACTCCACCCCCAAAAATGACTCATAAGTGAAAGATGCAAATAGGTGACTCTGAGAACTGGCCTATGTAGGTCTTTAAGAAACGCATTTGCCGTCGGGGGGAAGGTTTCTGTTGGCTGCTCTGTAACTGATGCCGGTTCTCAGGTGCCCCGCACAGCACGACAGGGGTCTCTCTGGGACCAAGAGAGATGCTGCCCCCACTCCCTGCGAGGCCGACGCTTAAGAAGCTCGCTTCCGGCCAATCTGCGTCAGTCCCTGTCTTCCTCTGCCTGGGTGCCATCTTGGCTTTGAACAGGGCCTGCATTCTTTAAGGAAGAGCTGCCCCCAGAAAGCACAGATCTGGGCTTCTATGCAGCCTCTCCTGGCTAACACCTCATTATCCAATCATCTAATATTCACCAGCAGTGTGTACACACTCGCTGATGATTTCCAAGTGAACTAATTCCCCCTGCTGCCGTGGATGTCTGCCATCACGTCCTCTGAGCTCACAAGAAAGCAAGGCAGATTATTTACAGTATTGAACACAAGCGACGGAAAACAACCGTGATGCCTTCCAGCGTGGCCCAGAAGAACCCGCGCTTTCTTTTTTTTTCCTTGTCACTTGTCCCTTCGTAAATGACTCCAGCCCTGTTTAAACCTTGCGTGGGCCCTGCCCAGCACCCGGCCTGCAGCAAGAGCGATTTGCATGCCAAGTGCCGTAATGCGGTTAGGTTTATGCAGCGAGGACGGCGGAAGCCAGGCTGCAGGGGCTTTAGCGAGTTAAGGGAACAGATGGCCCTAGGAGAGGTAAAAGGTATAATCCCATCAGCTGGAGTATCAGCCAGCCATCTGGACATCTCGAGCACAATTACAAGACATTTTAGCAGGCAGAACAAAGGAGTCTTCATGAGGCAAGATTAGGCCTGTTGGAGGGCCTCGATATTGTGAATGCAGGGAAGGTGACAAGCGCTGTGGTGTTACTTGGGAGAGCTTGCTGATTACCAGGAACCAGGACAGGAAGCTGTTTACTAACAGAATCCTGGATGAAACCCCCCCTGCCCCCACAGAAAGGCCGGGGGACCCCAACAATTCAGTCAGCATATCAGGGTTCAGGTGGCATCCACCTTCACTTTCTGAGTTGCCCGTGCTGGCCCCAGGCGTCGGGCACCCTGGTTCCCAGACCAGCCCGTTCCCGTGTGTGTCCAAGGCGGGTGGGGGAAAGCTGGGGTGCCCTTCTCCCCCGCAAGCTGAGAGGGGCTCCTGGAGTTAAAGCAAGTCTGGGTGCAGGTCAGATGAGCAGGGCGGGAGGCCCCCGGAGGAAGTCTGGGCCACACGGAAGAGTGGGCTGACCAGGCGGTGTCTTCAGGGCTGCATCCCAGCACGAGGAGGAAGACGGGGATGGGGGGGGGNGGGGGGGGGAGGGGGGTGGGGGGCGGTCCCTTCCCGCCGCATCCCTGCTCCTCCTCGCCCGACTTCAGCCGCGGTGCCAGCTCCCGTCATCTGCTCGAGTGTATTGTGCACGTCTATCATTAGATCTCGGACGCTGTCTGTGTAATTCATTTTGCTATGGTTCCCATTGAACACATGTTCCCTCTCTCTGTGTGCATTGAAATGTATGCAAATACAGGCAGGAGGAAGATGGCTATCGCCGCGGAGGAGGCGAGGCCGGCCCCGGGATCTCTCTGCCGAGGAGCCGAGCTGTGGCTTCTCCACTGGGCCACAGCTGCCAGACAGCCATCCTCCTGTGAGGGCAGGAGATCCTGGAGTTTTTTTTTTTTTTTTTTCCTTTTCTCACCTCCAAAGTAAATTTGTTTACTGTAATTTTTTTTTTTTTTGTGAATTATTTGCCATAATTGGCTGTGCTGATGAAGGTCACCCCCTTGGAGGGGACTTGTCAGTCTTTAGAGAGCTGATCCTTTTCAAATGCTCTCCATGCAATTAAGAAAAGCAAATGTCATTCGGAAGCCTCAGAAATGAAAATTTGTATGAACTTATTAGCATGAAGTCAACAGCGCTAGTTAAGGGCAGGCTCCCCGTGTGTGCTCTGCGCGTCTGCTGCCGAGGGAGCCTCGCGGGGATGAGCAAATAGAGCCCCCGCTAGTCCAACATTACAGCAAACAAAGGAAGGTGCTGTCGGCCCGGCTCAACACCAGTACCTGCCGTGATTAACTCCCGCGTCTGCCGCTGCCTCTGACCCGTCAGGGAGCCGCGCGCGGGCTTCTAGGAAGTCCTGCTTATGAAGACGTGCGGCCAGACCTGACCCCGAGTCTAAAACATGCTTTATCTGGAGCTGAGCTGCTCGGGGCGGGCGGGCTCACTTGGGATGGACAGCCTAGTGAGGCCCGGGTGTCCTTCGGAGGCTCGTCTCTGCAGGCGCCGGGTGGGGGCTGCGGCGTCAAGCTGCCGCGTGTTTACGAAGCTTTAGTTACTGTGTTTTGGACAAACATCCACCGAGGTTGTCGCGAGCGGTGGAAGATCAGTGAATGGGGAGGGCCCCTCGGGCCAGGGGTCGCGCTCCTCCACCTCCCGCACACCTCAGCGTCCCCCCCACCTAGATGCTGGGAGGATGAGGGTGACACGGGGAGGGGGCAGGGCTTGCTGGGGGCTCCCCCTGTCCGTCCACGGAGGACCTAAGGCCCGTGCTGCCTACTGTCTGGGCCGTAGCTGTGTCCAGACTGCGTCAGCTGGGAGACCCGGCAGATCCTAGGGGCCACATGGCCACCCATCACACAGGCCTCTTCTCCTTTGTACCAAAGATACAGACAGAGAGGCCCAGCATCCCGACCACGGTGCCCAGCCTGGCAGAGAAGGCCTGCTGGTCAGGGGGCCGTACCCCGCGTCTCCCCAGCAATCAGCTTCCTCCGCGTGGGGTCTCTGCCCATGACAGGCCCTCTCAGGTGGAGGAGATGGCCCCCAGCCCTGTGCAGAAGAGCCGATTGGAGGCCGGAACAAAGCTGCCTCCTCGAGGCTGTGGCCTTCAGCCTGGCCTCCGCAGGCTCGAGGCAGGGCTGCTGGGAGAATGGGCCTTCTGGTCTTTCCCCTGTGCCCTCCCTTGCGGTCTGTCTACCCACCCCC